CGCCCATCAGGCAGCAGGAGCACATACCAATGACTCCCAGGAGTGGTCCCACCTCATGCCACCTGCCCAAGGGCGATGATCTGGCTGGTGGCTGAGGGCCCTTCAGGATGAGGAAGGTGCTCCAGGGAGGAACTCTTTCACCTCAGAGCTGAGATCAGACTGACCAGGCAGTGAGCCAGATGGGTGGAGCCCTGTGCTCTGTCCCAACAGGCCTTGATATACAGGTTCTCCCCGAGTTGCCGCCCCCACTCCACACAGCATGCCTCCCTGGGCAGGTCCACCCTGGGGAGGGCCCACCTTAAAGGCAATCCCATCTGGTTCCTCAGAGAAGATGGCCAGGGATGTTGGGTACAGGACCAGGAGCCGATCCCACTGCTCCTGCAAGGGGTCAAAAGACAGCATGGGTAGGGCTGGGCACCAGGGGCTGCCCCACCTCCCCTATCCCCTCCCCACATCCCCTCCACCTGTGAAGGCAGGTGCTGCAGCTTGACCCTTGAGGCACAGATGGCACTGCCCACAGATTCACGCCCAGATGCCCTCCGCAGCCAGGTCAGACGGCGCTGCAGGGACCAGGGGAGCTCATCCCCTGAGGGGCCCTGTGGAGGAGGCCATCAGGGTAGGCTGGCAGGGAAAGAGGCGGGAGGGGCTTGCAGGTTCCTGACACTGACCTGCGGGGGCACAGAGTGGCAGCGCCGCAGTCCCCCGACAAGGGCCATCTGCTTTTCCAAGTGGTAGAGCCAGCAGCGGAGCTCATCTTCACTGGGGCAGAGAACGAGGAGTGGGGCGGGCAGTGGGCCTGGGGGTGGAGGAGCAGTGTGGGCTGAGGTGGGCCAAGCTTGGAGCCCCAGAGTCCAAGCACAGGCCCCTCTCCAAGGGATCTGTGCAGATGGATCCATGGCCCTGGCTGGGAGGCACGCTTCTAGGAGGCCAGTGTCCTCCACATACCTGTGATCTGGAAGCCATGCTCTCCAGTCTCCTCGAGGGGGCAGATGCTCAACTCCACCAGCGGCAACAGCCCCTGCCAGAGAACAGGTAGTAGCAGCTGCAGGAACTCTCAGGGGCCTTTCCCCCACCCTTGCCCAGGCCCCTTACCTGGAATGTGAGTCCTGCAGAACTGTGAGCCTGGAAGTAGAGGTGGGAAGGGAACAGCTCCAGGTAGCAGTCACTGGTATCCTGGGGAGAGCAGATGCCCATCTGAGGGACTGGGGCAGACAGGATGGTGGGGTATGGGTCCCTGAGCATGCCCCCCAGCCCCCACCTGGCTGTGCTGGAACCGCAGCTGGACCTTGGCATAGTGTACCACCTTGCCCAGGTTCCTCACGGGCACCTTCCGCCGCCCCTTCTTGAACACACTCAGGATGGGCTGCTCCAAGTTCTCCGGCTGATTCTCCAGGCCTGGAAAGTCCTAGGGGAGTAGGGCTTGGGGAGTGGCCAGATAGGGCCAGCAACCCCAACCCATTACTCAGCCACCCATATAGGCCTGACCTGTCCATGCCAGGCCACACAACACACATAGGCAGATGCACACAGCCTGAATACATGGAATGGTGGCAGAATACACAACATGTACACAACACAGCTCCCCAGTCCATGCTACCTGGTCTAGCAGTGACAGAGAAGTTGGGACTCGGTGGAGTCAACCCTGATCTTCACCACCTCCTGGTTCTGCAGCTCTGTTTTGTTTGTTCAATCTCCCCAGACTTTTCAAAGGAGTTTTTTGGGTGTCTGGGTGAGATAGTGCATAAAACCCTGCCTTTTACCAATAAACTGGTAAATGTTTAATACCTGATTCTATATGCAAAAACAGACAAAAAAAAAAAAAAAAAAAAGCAAAAGCCCAAGCCCTGCTCTGTCATAGCCACCAATTTCCTTGGTGTAAATATCCCCACTGCAGCCTGCTTGGATACCAACATGAGTTCTGGGTGCTCAAGTGCTCTAGCATACTGAGCGTGGGCCTCAGTCTCTCACACAAAAACGGCAATGACTAAGGGTTCTCTGCGACCTGCCCCTCCACTCTTCCTCCCTCTCTTTCTCTCAAATCAGGCACATGTCTGAATCGGGCTGTTCCCTTGGCTGGGGCCACTCAGCACTGACTCTCCACGTCACAACCTTCAGGCCTTTGCTCAGCTCTTACCTTCTCCCTGGCTGCACACTCTTCTAAAATTCCAGCCTTTCCTGTTCTAGTTAGCTGCCTGACCACAGTTGACTTACTCTATTTCTACTTAGTCCTCCTGTCTATCTGCCACTGCTGAGTCTCCAGGGCCTGGAACGTGCTGGGGGGGGGGGTCAATGCATTACGCTGAAGGGAAGGAAGAAGGGCCAATGTCTACACAGCACTTAGGTAGTCCTGGCAGGGAGTTCGTTCTCTACGAATGGGGGCTTTGATATCAGAGCCAGGGTCAGATAGGAGTCAGGTGCTAAGGGCCTGGAGAGGACTGTGACCTACTAGCCTAGGGGCAAATTCTGTTGGGGGTCACATTTGGGTCACCTGCAGGGCTGCTGTGTCCTGGCCAAGCCAAGCTGCCCCTTGGGCAAGCCTAGGAATGTGAACAGACAGATCACAGTTCCCCCGGCTTCTCTGCCTCTGGGTGGGGCCTTCTGCACCCACACCCAGTGTGGGAAATGATTCCAGATGACACTCTCGAAAAAATAGGCCATGAATCCGTAAGGGCTAGGCCACTGGTCCTGTGGCCTAGGTCAGCCTTGGGGCCCGGGAAGGACAGCTAGGAACTGCAGTAGGGATGGAAGCCTGGCCAGGGCCCTCCCTGGCCCCTATCTCCCAAGGCTCAAGGGGTCTTGACCCTTTTCCAAGGGAGGACCACTAGGGACACCATGCCTCATGGGACTCCCTCCAGGGTCACACTGCCTATCCTGGGCTGAACAGAGAGAGTCAGGGTCTGAGATGTAGCCCCTTCTCTGAGGCAGCATAGTTTCTGAAGCCAGCAGCTGACCTCAAGAGCCCTGAGACCTTAGACAGGGGACAGGGGAGGACACGGGGTCCCAGCCTGGTGGGACAGTGAGAAAGGTAGGCTCTGGGAGCCCATGCCAGCTGCTTCAGTCCTGGCCCAGAGTCCGCGCCCCCACTTCCAGCAGAAGATCCGCGGGCGTGGTCCCACAGGAGGGAGCTTCAGTCTAGGTTCTGCCCCAACCAGTGCCAGCTGTTGGGGAAAGAGGCTAGGGCTCCTCTACTCAGCCAGTCCACCGTCCCACAGGGCACCCTCAGTTCCTTCAGGAGAAATAGCCTAACAAGTGCTTCGTGGTCACTTCCTTTCCGTGCTGGGGCAGGAGGCACCAGCATAGGTAGGATTGCAGTGGGCAGTGGATATCTGGGAGCACTTTCCTGCGAGACCCTGAAGGAGAAACTAAGGCCTGCAGTAGGTGACCAGCTGGCTCTCTGTCGCCTGAAACCCTTTACTTTCTCAAGCGACAGCACCCAAAGAACTGCAGCATAGATGCAACCGGTGAGCTGGAGATCTAAGCTGGCGCCGCCTACCCCTGAGAAGCTTCAGAGGCCCCGCCCAAGGGCCAGGCGCACGGCTCACCACTGACTCAGTCCCAGTCTGGGTTTCGTTCTGGGCCAGACTTTCGGCGGATGAGCTTCCCAGGGCGGGGCAGTGTCCACTTCCTCACCTCCCTTTGGATCTAAATCCCCTGAGCTGACTGGGATGACCCTTAGCTGTGCAAAACTGCGACGCACACGCTGGCGTACGACACAGAAGAGAGCGCAGAGCTGCACTCAGACCCCAGGCCTGGCGACAGATGGGGGCCTCGCCACACCGGCCGGGCGCTCAATGCCTCAACACCGCGGGCAGCTGCCGCTCCGGCGGGACACGCCCTCGGCTCACCGTCCCAGGGATGTAGTAGAAGATCTTGTCTGCCGCGGCGTCCCCGTCGGGGCCAGCCTCGGAGCCGAACAGGCCCGCCAGCTTCCTCGAGGTGTCCTCTCTGGGGACAAGTGAAAGGGGGTTTGGGGCTCGGCCTTCGGTCGGGTCGAGGGAGACCGTGTTCCCGGGTGGCTGAGGCCGCCCCTCTCACCTATTTCCCTTCAGCGAGGGTTTCCTGGAGAAGGAGGCCCGCAGCCTCCTGGGGGTCTGAGGGACGCAGTGGCTGTTCCCCATTGGTCCGAGCGGCGGCTGGCTTGGACCGAGCCGGCAGACAGGTCTGGGTCCCTGGGTCGGGATCCTCCTGCCCCCGCCTCCCGTGAGTGGGCGGGGCTGTGGGACTGCTTCGCGCCTACTGGGGGGGGAGGAGCCTTTCTGGGAGGGGCTTGGCTCCACCTGAGCCCAGCCTCCCAAGCGACCCGGGCTGGGTTCTTCTCCACAGCTCTGGGGCAGAGGAAAAGGGCATCTCCTCAGACGGGGACAAGAGCTTCCAGCCTCCCAGGAGGATCAGTAGCGCCTGCTCTGTGGGCACCACGCCTGCCTGTGTTCAGGTTGGGGGTGACTGGGCACTAAAGCCTAGGAATCCAGTGACCTTCCCTTCTAGTTGCCCACCCCCCAACCTGAGCACATATCCGGTTTTTATGCTTATCCCAATTGGTCTGAGTCACTAGGAGCTGTCAAGAGTGTGCTCACCCTCAGCCACAGAAGCAGGAGTTTGCAACCATGGGGAAGGGGGAAGCCAGAAGCCTGGGGCCAACCCTCACTCCAAGCATAAGTCATTGTCCCCAAGACTTAACTAAATGCAAGAAGGTCACACATTTCCCAGGTGCCCAGACAGTAATGGCAGCGTGGAGGGCCTTATCCTCCACAAGTGATCACAACCCCCAAACCTGGAATGTCACGGGGAATTCTCAGGACCAGGTTAGTAGCCCACCTCCCCTACCTCCCCCTGCAAAAGTGCCACCTTGCCGTCCCCAGGCACTAATGCTCCCTTTCAGCCATGCTGCACACTTGTCCACAGAACCTCACACTGGAGCCCAGACAGGACCCCAGGCTGTGCTGCACCTCCACAAGGCAGAAGAGCTAAAAGGGGCCAGAGATGGACGCTTAGTCTCTGGCTCAGGGAGCCCAAAAAACATGTTTATTGTTCAAGATGGCTCATATTGCTGAGTAGGGTCTGAGTGCATGTGCCCCAGCCCCATGTGAGATCCAGAAAAGACATCACACTGCAGACACAGGATGCAGGAAGGGAACCTGCTTCGTGCCCTTCCTGGGGACAGCCCTGGCTGGGCCAGGTAAGGACAGTGTGCAAAGTTCAGACTACCTGTCTGCACCTGCTTAAAAATCCCTGCCCTGCTCTGGCTCCACCAACTCTGGTTATTATGCTGCTCCTGACCCTGGGTCTATAAAGTACCATTGGGCCACTGACCTCCCTGCAGCGAGTGGCCACCCTATCACCCCTCACTGCCTGGAACAAGGAACTGGGTGGAGGACACTCGCAGGGCAACTTGGTCCCCTGTGCACACAAGTGCCCACGCTTTGAGAGTAAACATATGAATTGGTAACTGCAGCGGTGCTCATCCATCAATAAATAATGAATTAATAAATAGGTGAGTAAATAAATAAACAGCACACACATAGAGGAACAAGGAGTGAACAGAGACGTGGAGAGACGGTGCAGGACGTCTCTGGTGGGGCCACGTCCAGCCCCTGACATATGGCTGAGGAGAGGGAGGTGCTGGGGTCGACCCGAGGGGCTTAAGGCATGTGGGAGGCAGCGGGGCCTCTCTGTGGTCGGTGCTGTGTGTCAGAGGCTGGTGGAAGACACAGACAGCGTGGGCGAGGACGGTGGCGGAAAGTTGAGCAGCTCCAGCACTGCCACGCCCACACTGCTGCGCCGTGTGAACATGCAGGAGGCAGCTACCCACTTGTTGGTCCTTGGGTTGTACTTCTCGATGGAGTTGAGGCTGGAGCTGCCATCGTTGCCGCCCACAGCATACAGCCAGCCGTCCATGGCCACCAGGTCATGTGTGCTCCTGGGGAGAGGCAGCCAAATGAGTTGTGTGGGTGGGACCACAGGAGGAGCCACTGGGTGGGGGCAGATCCACTGGAGGAGCCAGGGGCGGGGCCACAGGAGGAGGGGGGGGCTGGGTGTCCCCAGTGGAGTGGAGACAGTGGAGCTGATCTACTGCATTGGCTAGAATGGCCCAACCTGGCCTGCAAACCTGCGAATGTTCATGGGTGCCACGCTCTCCCAGGCGCCGGCCTTGGGGCTGTATCTCTCCACTGAGTTGAGGCAGCTGGTGCCATCATTGCCCCCGGCCACATACAGGGCGCCCTCCAGCACCGCCACACCTGCAGAGCTGCGCCGGCTCAGCATGGAGGCCACCGGGGTCCATGCATTCACCTGTGGTGGTGAGGCCTGAGCTGAAGGCTGACACAACAAGGGTACCCCACCCATCCCCCTAAGCAAACCCTAACCCAGGCAGGATATCTGTGAGATAGGGTGGATGTGAATGGCTGGCCTGAGGGTGGAACCCCCAGGCAGCAGTGGGCTGGGGGACTGCCATGGGGTGCACTATGCACCTGGGGCTCATACTTCTCCACAGTGGCCAGGTGTGAAGAGCTGTCATATCCACCCACAGCGTACAGGTTCCCATCTGCGGAAGGCAATATACCCTGGTGCTCCTGCTGGGTGGGGGGTGCAGGTAGGAGGGTGGGCACCACAGGAAGCAGGCCCTTTCACCCACCGAGTGTGGCCACGCGCACATATCGCCTCCGGGTGCTCATGGCAGCGATGGATGTCCATGTTCCCGTCAGGGGGTCATAGCGTTCAGCGCTGTGGGCACCAGACTGCTGCTGACCCGTAGCCACAACAGAAAGGTTGTCCAGCCCTAGGACCTGCCCTCCCCCATGGAACTGCTGAAATCCCAAGGAGGCCACCACGAAGACTCTGACTCAAGTCCTACCATAGCCAACAGCAGGACCTGCGGGGTGGGCATGGGTTGCTGCCTGGTTGGGTATTCCTGGGCAAGTGTCCCCTTTGGGCCCAGCCCTAGACTGGAGGAGAGGACCCCAGGAAGGAAAAGGGATGGGGAGAGACCAGGCCTAAGAACTGCTTGGCCTGAGGTAAAGAGGCTTTGGGGACCCTGGTGGCCTGGGCAGGCAGCACCCTTGCCATCATCCCCCATCAGACACAACTTGGTACAGCCTCACCTCCTGCTGCCGAGCCACCCTGCAGGGTCATGGGGGCCTCAACCCCAGCTACTACCTGTTGAGACAGGAGGCCCCATCGTAGCCGCCAGCTGCGTACAGGAGCCCATGCAGGGCAGCTACACCCAGGCAGCTGCGCCTCGTGCCCATGGACACCTCAGGTTGCCATGTGTTGGTCACAGGGTCATACGATTCCACAGTAGCCAGGTCTGAGGTCCCATCATAGCTAGGAGAGGGGTCCACTACTGGTCAAGGAAGGCCTAGCAGGCATGTGCCAAGCCCCGGGCCCAAGCCTGGCCTCTATGCTTACCCGCCCACAGCATACAGCCGGTTTCCTACAGCAGCCACTCCCACTCGGGCCCGGCGTGTGGACATGGAAGCTACTACGTGCCAGCGGTCAGTTCGAGTGTCATATGCTTCACAGTCCCCATGGATGGCAAAAAGACTCCCGCCACCTAGGAAAGGGGAGGTGACAGGATAGGAGGAGAGGCACTGGGAGTAACCAGTGGGAGTCTAGCATAGCCTGAGAGCAAGAGTGTTGGGACTCTGGGGGTGGGTCACACTCCACAGGGCCTGGGGAGACCCTGGATGGAGGAGGAGGGAGCAGGTCAAGACCTGACCAATGTGGTGGGCTGGGCTTGTGTTGGGTATGGCCAGGGCAGGGGTGTCAGAGGAAGGGGCCGGATGGGCATACCCACGGCAAAGAGCACAGGGCCGGCACCCTCACAGCGCCGGGGCCGTGTGCGGCTGGTACCCAGTACACCTCTCTGCTCGGGCAGCAGGTGGAACTTGAGGGCCTCAATGAGCAGATCCTTGCAGTCAGGGTGATGCCTCACCAGGCTCTCAGCATCCACGTGGCCCAGCAGGAAGTCGCGGCTCAGCAAGGGCAGCCGCACACACTTCATCAGCTGGGGCAGGAGTGCCAGGGTCAGGGGACCCTCAGGCACACTTGCCCCAGGGCTGAGACCCTGGCTCAGATGCCTGTACCACCTGTACGATGGGTTCTTGAGACAGATGCCTGCACTGCCCCCATGGTGTCCCTGAACGGGAGAGGCCAGGGACTCCATGAGGCACACCTAGGCTTCAGCCACCATGGTCCCTCCCCAACACCACCAGGGGTCCCGAGGCCTGGCCTTACTCTTGGAACGTGCTGCCTCCGAGTGTCCACGTCATGTTTGACCCAGCTCAGGACAGCACGGTAGACATCTTCTTCTGAAGGTACATTCAGGCTGTCACTAGAGACCAATTCCAGCACCTGGGGATAGGGGTCCTCAGGCATGAGATCTGGGGAGGGTCCTGCGAGTCCAGGGAGCCCCCTGAAGGTACCTGGGAGGGAGGGTCTGGAGGTGGTGGTGGGGTCAGTGTTTCTACAGGAAGGGGCCCAGCAGGGTCAGGAGCTGTGGATTGGTTCCTGGGGGCCTAGATCCCAAATAGTCTTGGGGACATGGAACCAGGACTGGGGTTTAGGAGCAGAGGCTGTTAAGGATGAGATGAGATGAAGAGTCCAAGGCAAAGACCTGGGTAGAGCCAGGAGATGGGAACAGGGTTGGGGGTGCCCAGGCGACAGGTCACAGGGTGGGCATGGGTCAGAAGCTGGGAACGAGGCCTGGGGAACAAAGAGCAAGGGGTGAAGGAGGGTGCTGGGGTGGGAAGGGGCAGGGTGTGGGTTGGGCCCTGTGGGCAGGTTACCTGCTTCAGCGGCAACAGCATGAACTCCTCGGTCTTGGCCACGTCCACAAAGTGCTGCAGCACATACCTGTGTGCTGCCTTGAGCAGGTCACTGCACGAGTGCGTATCGGCAAAGCCCCGGATGCCCAGGCAGTTGGAGGGGTCCAGCTGACTCAGCAGGAACTTGCAGCAGGCATCCCGGACGCCGTTCAGCTGCAGCAGGCTGGCAGCTGGGAGCAGCGTCTGTGGAACATGGAGATGGGGGTCTGGTGGGAGGTGCCCAGGCTGTGAAAGTAACTGGAGGGTTTGGGGAGGGGCCTGTGAGGGGCCAGGGCATGGGGAGACCTGGCAGGAGGCACACTGCCTCACCTGTACGTTGCCCTCGCCTACTACAATCTCAGCGGTGTACGCAAACTGCACCAGTTGGTCCAAGGCCTGAGGGTCAATGTCATGCAGTGTCACATGAGTCTGGCGGCTCTCACTCATCTCATCTGTGGGGACAGTAGTCAGGCTGGTACCTGTCCCGGGAGAGCTGCAGAGAGCCCCCAAGTGCCACCCAGACTGTGGTACTTGCTTGTGAACATGGCGTGGAAGTAGGGGCTACAGGAGGCCAGCACCACCTTGTGTGCACGGATCTCCTTGGCGGCCACATGCAGGACGATGTCACACAGGAGGCCACGCTGCCGCATTCGGCTCATGGCTACGAAGGCATCATGGTAGTGCCGCTTGGAGTTGTGGGCCACACTGTGGCCCTCGCGGCTCAGTAGCTGCATGGCACCTTCCATGGGGGCTGCGGGCCGGGCCTGCCTGGGCCGCGCTCGCTCTGCCTCTGGGCTGCAGGTGGGCAGGGCCAGGTCAGGGTTAGCCCTGTAGGGGGCTGCTCACCCACCTCCTCTGTGCCACCAGACTTCTGGGTATGGCCAGGGCAGCCAAGTCAGCCATCTGTCCAGCAGTCCAGTGGCCATAACGTCTGCATCAAGGCCCACCTAGTAATGCTGCCCGCCTGGAGCAAGACCTCCCCTCCTGTACAGGGAGCTACCCTGGAGCCAGACCAGACTCTCTTCTAAGCCTACTCCCCCTGGGGGACCATCCGGACACTGCTGCCCTGACTGTCCAGCTTCCTCTGCCCACCTCCCTTCTCAGCTACTAAGTTCACCCATCTCTTGTTCTCCTTGAGAGACAGGTATCCTCTACCCTTCTAAGGATAGGGCTCCTGCCTTGCCAGCCACCCTTCCCATCCCTCAGCAGTACCGGGAATGTGGGAGGTGTACGCAGGGAACCGGCCAATGCCTGCTTTAAAGCAGACCCCTTGGCCCCCCTTACAGCAGGTGGACCTCCCGTTGTGGAGGGATTCAAGGGCAGGCAAGGGGCTTAGGGCCTCTCTTTCCAGGGGTCAGCACCCCTGGCCCCCCCCCGCAGCACTCAGGACTTCCCAGAACCGCTGCTGTGGCCGAAGGACCGAGGGGCTCGGACTTCACACGGCCCAGGCCTGCGGCAGCCTCTCGGGCGACGCCGTCCTCCCGAGTCCCCCGGTCCCTCCGTCGGTCCTCGGCGCCGCCCGCTTTCCGCCCTACTCACGCCGGCGGCTGCGGCTGCGGCGGCGGCGGCGCCTCGGGCCCGGGCCCCGGGCTGCCGTGCTCCGGGCTCTGCGTCCTGCCGGCCGGGCGCTCGCCGCGCGGCTGCATCAGCTCAGCCACCGAACTGCCGCCGCGAAGCGCGCAGGACGAGCGAGCGCGACTGCTGGAAGGATGCTCGGCAGCGGTGGCCCCTCAGCGTCGCGCGCCTCCCCGGCTGCAGACGCTGTTTCTCGGCGCCGCCCGCCCCATCTCTCGCGCTCCGAGGAGGCTTCGAGGATCCGCGTTGGACACGGGTCAGCCCGGCGTCGCGCCACCGGATCGATTCCTCTCGTAGCCCTCGGGCCCCGCGTACTGCCCCAGGCGGACAAGCTCCGGGTCCCAGATGGCCAGCCACCTGCCGGTTGTGCTGTGGTGGGTCAAGCCTTGGTCCGTGCGCTGGCCGTTTGGTCCAGCCGTCCAGGCCCGCGGACCCCGCAGCCTGGAAGGAGGAATGCATCCTCTCCGCCCAGCCCCGGGCGCCCCGGCCAGACACTCGGGTGCGTTTTCCGTGGGACCTCGCTGCACGGAATGTGGATGGTGCTGCTGACCGTCCAGCGAGATAGACACAGGGCTCTTGCTCCGACCTCGCATCAGGCGAAGCCAGTCCCGCCCCCCAGCACGCTCAGATTCCTGTCAGACTGTCTATCTGGATCCCGGCCGTTTCTGTTTTCATTGTTTTCTCCACTAGACCCTTGGCTTGTCATTGGTTTGTGTGTTCTTAGTACAGAAGTCTCCACTGGCGTACGTTTTGTCTGTTGTCAGCGCCCGGCACACGCACTGGTGGGCCGCGGACAGGGCCTCGATTCCCCAGGTGGGAGTTGTTATTTCAGCGTGTCACGGAGAAGGACGCAGAGCTCTGACCTGGCCCGGCTCGCGTTGGGCGAATGAATGCCAGACCCGTGCCAGAACCCACCTGAGGCCATGAGGGTGCGAACGCGCCCTCCCGCCTGGAAGCCACCGGCTACGCAGTCGAGAATCGCAGAGCCAGCGACAGGGCGGGGCTCGGCCGGGGGCGGGGCCGACCCGGAGGTAGTGCGGTAGCGCCCGGCTGTCTGGGGCCGGAAGTGCGGCGCACGCGGCGGGCTCGGCGTCATGGCGGAGGCCAGGAGCCGCAAGAGGTAAGTCTCCGCGGTATTCCTTGCGGGAGCCTGGGCTCCGGGCTGTCCTCACCCCTTTCGAAGGCTGGGGCTAGTGGGCTGGCGCCTTGTGACCCTCCGTGACCCGCAGGCGCCTGGCGGAGCTGACGGTGGACGAATTCCTGGCCTCAGGCTTCGACTCTGAGTCAGAGTCGGAGTCCGAGGGCGCCCCGGAGGCGGCGACGCGGGAGCGGGAGGCAAGCGGACGTGGAGCTGCGCGGCGTCTGGAGCCCGGCAGGGGCCCCGCGGCCCGGTAAGCCGGCGCCGCCTGGGTGGCTTGCTGGGCCAGCCTTCCTCCGGGAGGGGCGGGCGCTGGCGGGTGACGCAGAGCTGCGTTTCTGACCCGGGAGAGTTCGGTGTGGGGCGGACCGTAGCGCGGCCCTGTAGCGCGCAGGGGCCGGTAAGGAACCACGCGAGGGGCCGGAGGGAGCGTTGAGCGGAGAGCCGGGCCGGCTCCATGCCTGCAGACCCAGCCACTGGGAAGGCGGAGGCAGGAGAGCCCAAGTTTGAGGCCAGCCTGGGCAAGTTATCAAAACTGAAAGGGTTGGGGACGCAGCTCAGAAGAAGAGCGCTTACCTAGCGCTTGAGGAGCCCTGCAGTCAGTCTCGAGTGTCCGCACTACAGTAACGAAGCGGATACCAAGGGGCCAAACTTGGCAGGGCGACCACCTGAGTTTTGAGTGACAGCCCGAAGGAGTAGGCTGTGTGGACAGTACAGCAGGAACTGCGAAGGTCTTGAAGTGGGAACCCATGAGGAAGGGGTGACTGGCAGGAGAAGTGGGAGAGTAGTTGAAGATGCACCCAGAAGGGCGGGTGATGAGGAATCAGGTTAGATCACCCAGTAAAATGGGAAGTTTCCTCAGAGCGAGAGCTGTGAAGCAACATCATGTGACATTTTTTTAAAAAGGGAAAAGGTCACTCCGGTTTCTGTGCCAAAAAGGATCATAGGTGACAAGGGTGGGAATGGAGAGGCCATTCTGGTGATTGAGAGTTGAGAGATGTGGTGGTTTGCAAGGAGACTTTGGTGGTTTTGAAGATGTTGTTGATGAGTTCTAGGGACAGGTCTTTTGTGGGGACTGCAGCAGAGCCTGGTGCCAGCACAGCAAGTCTGGGGAGAGCACAGGTTGAGTGTCTGTGTGCTAGAGGTTAAAACAATGGGGAGAGGCTTCTGGGTACAGGAGTCCAGAAGAGAGTTGTGTTTTCTGAAAACTTAACATTGTGGGAAACCTCCTGCTTGTTGTTGATGGCTGCTGTGCAGGGAGCAGAATAACCCTGTGGCCTCTCTGAGGAGGCCCACAAGTGGCTATGTGGACAAGAAGCCAACCCCCTGCTGGTTTTTCACTGGCTTACTGACTCCTGTCTTCTCAGTGGGCATAAAGGCAGTGCCTCTGAGCACAAGGACCAGCTCTCTCGTCTGAAGGAAAAAGATCCAGAATTCTACAAGTTCCTGCAAGACAATGACCAGAGCCTGCTCAACTTTAGTGACTCAGACAGCTCTGAGGAGGAAGAGGAGCAGTTTCACTCCTTGCCAGGTGCACTGGAGGTGAGGACAGCACAGACCTGTCCAGCAGGGCACCTGTGGCTTCTACACCCTCCCCCAGCATGACTCTTCTGTGTCTGGTGTAGGAAGCAAGCGAAGAAGAAGACGGAGGAGAGGATGGGGACAGAGTCCCTGGAGGACCTCAGCGGAAGAAGAATGAGTCTGTTCCCGTGACCCTTGCCATGGTGGAGAAATGGAAGCAGTCTGCAAAGGTGAGAAGAAGGAGTGTGGTCTGAGCAGCTGGACCCCACCACAGGCAGGAGTCTCTCCCTTGTGTCATTGAGGTGCTCATGGCTGTACAGGTGGGAAGAGCCCTTCTCTGAGCAGCACACAATGTCCACATGTGTAGAGTGCTAGGATGCCCTGGTTGGGATTCTTCAGTCATAGTTCAGCTTTTCTCTCAGGGGCTCTGCTCCCTGAAGTAAAGCCATTGTGGGTGTATCTGTTAGGTGTGTCTTGGTGTAGTTTCTCTTGCTTTATAGTGGGATGCCAACAGATAGTTCGTAAAGGAAAGATATTTAGTCCTAGGAATGTAGCTCAGTCATAGAGTGCCTGCCTAGCATGTGTGGACTCTGGGTTCAATCCCCCAGCACGAGGAAAAAAAGAAAGAAAGAGCAAGGGGAGGGAAGGGAAGGAGGGAGGGAGAGAGGAAGAAAGGAAGGAAAAGAAAGAAAAGGTGTTTACTTGGCTCACAGTTCTGGCGGTAGGAAGTACAACAGCATGGTGCAGCAGCATCACATGGCTGGTGAGACAGCAAGCTTGCTCCTCCAACTCAGGACTCTCAACCTTTTCCCCTGGGGCTCCTGAGCTGGGCTCATTCCCTTTCCAGGAGGATTATAGACTTGTCTCCATTTTAGTTGCCAGAACACGGCTTAGTGGCCCCGCCCCTACCTCTGCCCTATTTCTGAGGTTGTGGGGAAGGGTCTCTTTTCTCTCAGGAGCAGGTTCTTGGAGTCAGTTATCTCTTGCTCTGCCTTGTACAACCTCCTGCTCCCCCAGAGTTATTGGTCTCTTGCTCCTTCAGCACCTCACTCCCAAGCTGTTCCATGAAGTGGTGCAGGCATTCAGAGCAGCTGTTGCTACCACCCAAGGAGACCAGGAAGGTGTTGAGGCCTGCAGGTTTCAGGTTACAGACAGCACTGGTGAGCAGGGTCTACAGGGCGGGTCAGGCTGGCTTTCTTGCTCTCCTGTGAGTGACATCTGTGTCCCTTCCTCACAGTGTTCAACGCTCTGGTCACCTTCTGCATCAGAGATCTCTTTGGATACCTACATAAACTGCTGTTTGGAAAGGCCCCAAAGGATACCAGCAGGTGAGAGAAATAGGGTGATCAGAGCTCTGCTCTGCAAGAGAGGACACTGTCCCCAGGGCCTTGGCCCACCTAGGACAGGGGCATGGCAGACTTTGGGGGCTCCTGAGAAGGAAGAGCAAAAGAGGCCTTTGGGGGATGTACTCTTGCCAGTGGGGGTGGCCCCACTCCTTGCCTTTTTCTTCCAGAAAAGAAATTCTATGCTGAGGATTTCTTGAGAGCATGGTGTGTGCTTGTTGTTTTTTTTTTTTTTTTTGGTATTCGGTGTTGAACTCGGGTGCTTTACCACTGAGCCACATCCCCAGCCTTATTTTTATATTTTATTTAGAGACAGGGTCTCACTGAGTTGCCTAACGCCCTACTATTGCTCAGGTTGGCTTTGAACTTATGATCCTCTTGCCTTCACCTACTGAGACGCTGGGATTACAGGCGTGCACCACTGTGCCCAGCGTGTGCTTGGTTTTAATCTTAGATTTTCCCAGGGCTTGGAAATCCAACTTCTGTCAGGATACCTTTGAAAGAAAGCAGAAAGGCTTCACTGGGCTGTCAGCATCATGAGGGGTTGTAGGAGTACCTTCACTAGTGCATGAGAGTGTTCATGTGTGTGTAGGCAGTGCAGACCGAAGGGGTCAGGCGAGGAGGGTGGAGGACAAAGCAGTGAGATGAGCAGGCAACAAGACAAGTGGTCCATGCAACTGGACCTTGGGGAGCAGCAATAGATGCTGACTGAGATGCCAAAAGGGAGCTGAATGGAAAACTCTCAGGGCCCTGCCCTTGGTCCTTGGTGTGTTTAGCCGATTTCTGTGAACATCGAGAAACTTACAGGAACCGGCTTTTGTTGTCAGATGTTCAGTCCAGAAGATTTAAGGGTCCAGAGTTTTAGGAAAAATGTTTGTGAATGTGCATGGTTGGGTCTTCTTCCCAGTGCGTCGGGGCCAGAGCCACCAGCCTGCACCAGTGAGTGGTGCCTGGTTAGGCCCAAAGGTCCTGAGTGCTACTGGGGGTTGTGGTGTGACAGGGCCAAGGGAACCCAGAGGAGGCTGGTGTATGAGGAATGCAACTGGGGCTGGGCCCTTCTGGGAAGAATAGGACTCAGTATTTCAGAGGGCAGTCGCTCTGCTTTGGCTGGGTGGGTGGTCTGTGGGAAGGGCTGGTGCTGCTTTACTGGGGGGTGGGCAGCTGTGTCTGTCAGCTGCACAAAGCCCCTCAGCTTTTGTGGAGAGGTGGGAAGTCTGCTCAGGGCAAGGTATGGTCTGAGACTCACTGAGGCAGCCTTGAGTCTAAGCTGCAGGAATGGGGATGCGTTTGGTTTCTGCAGGATGCTGCAGCCGTCCAGCAGTGCGCTCTGGGGGAGACTCCGCGTGGACATCAAGGCATACCTAAGTGCAGTCATGCAGGTGCTGTTCCTGTGGGGAAGGAGCATGGAAGCCCAGATCAAAAACAGTCAGGGCCCTTGCCATATTGGGTGGTCCAGTGTTTTTTGTGCCTCAGACTCAGTAAGATAGTGCCTCACAGCCCCCTTCTGCTTCCCTAGCTGGTGACCTCTCTGGCAGAAGCTACCGTGTCAGCGGCTGTCCTGCAGCACATCAGCAGCCTTGTGCCTTACTACCTAACCTTCCCCAAGCAGTGTCGCATGTTGCTCAAGGTGAGCAGGCCCATCATGCTCTGTTGGTGTGGCTGGTGGTGCACACAGCCACCCCACAAATACATCCCATTCCTGTTCAGGGCAGAAGTGTCACCTGCACCTACACTGGCTTCTGGCCAGCTCCTTTCCAGCCCTCCTCCACCTGGGTACCTCATCTAGGGCATCCCCCGACCCAGGCAGGCCAGCATAACTCGGTGATGTGAGAACAGGTTGCACTCAGGCATCTGTGTCCTAACAGGTTTTGAGAGCTGGAGTCATTATACATTCTCATGCACACGTAATGGTAAAGGCAAGTTGTCACGGTCTTGCCTCTACAGGGCATGACATACTGTGTTCTGTGTTTTGGTGCCTCTTACTATTTTGCTACCAGCTTCTCCTGATGTGTTTTGGGAAGGGCTGTCTCCCAGCAGTAACACAGGAGCCTCTGGCTTGGCTTAGGGAGGGGAGGCATGTGCTGGCTCTAGGGGTTCCTGGGTAAGAAGCCTGGGGCAGACAGTGACATCTTCCCTTTTCAGAGAATGGTGGTTCTGTGGAGCACGGGTGAGGAGTCTTTGCGGGTGCTGGCTTTCCTGGTCCTCATTAGAGTCTGCCGGCATAAGAAGGAC